AGGAAGGAAGGGAGGGAGGGAGGGAGGGAGGGAGGGAGGAAACAACGATCACAATAATACCTTGAACTTTCAAAAAAGAAAAAGAGAACAGAACTGTCATTATTAGATGTGGGAAAGGGGGAGGGAAGTTACCAAGAAATTGGTTAAGGGTCAAAAAGATTGATTACATTTTGTAAATGTGAGTGTACTAATTATCCTGATTTGATCATCACACATTGTCTACAGGTATTGATCCACAGGTATTGATATTCAAATCTGTACCCCACAAACATGTATAATAAATTACGTTTCAATAAAAAAAAGTCAAAAAACAAAAACAAAAATCATAGGGAGTAGAGAATTTTTTCCTTCAGAAGATTCATACAAATTGTTTAAAAATGGTAAGGCGTATTCAAATATTTCAAATGCAGAAATAGTAATAGTGGTAGTGGTGGTAAATATTATTATGGGCACTCTGAAATGTAGAATCCCGTCCATAGAATTGTTCCTTGCTGCCTTTAGGACTTCCTGTCTGATCCAATAGGTAAGTAACCTCTGAAAAGTGCAAAAAGATTTTCAGAAAGTAGTTTTCTACAGCCAAAATCTGGAAAGTAGGAAGACCACAGTAAGAATATTCATGGTTCAAGTTACAATTAATTGTAACTGCAAATCACCAAATAACAAAAATGTAATTCCAAGTCACAAACTGTGTGACTTCAGACTATTAGTTGCAAATGAAGCTAAAAATGGGAAGCATCGAGGTGAGAATCATATAAGAAATGGAATGATTTTAGAATTTTTTTGAAGTGAAAACAACCAGATAATAGTCATTCTGTAATTGAAGCCAGAAAGCACGGAAAGTACAATTTCATTGCCAAATTTCTATAACAAGAATAGCAGATGTATATGGCAGATTTTTAGATTTCCCTCAGATACACTTCTGCAAAATGTTTTCAACCGATTCTCTCTTTGTGGATTAAGAATGAGAGTATATTCTTAGGGCTCCTGACCACAGAACGAAATCAGCAAAGAAAACCAAAGACACATTGACAAGAGCTGTCTAAGATAAAAAGGAGGGAGATGGCTGAGGTTTTCTGAGCTTTCTCTTGGAAAGTGTAAGCATATAGATAGTGAGAGTAGG